CCCCCCATGGCATGAGGTTTGGGCCCGCTGAAGGGCCCCAAAAATGTTTGGTATTTTCGAGGGTGAACGGTGCCATTTGGTACGGTTTAGTACTATAAGTCAGCTAGTATAAATTCTAATTCCAAGAAGGGAATATTAGTGTGATTTCTTTCAAAAACCGAAAAATCCGCCTCTGTCTGTGTAGTGATTGTTTTGGATCTGCTTTCTTACAGTCAACCCCTTTGACAAGACAGACAAAATATTAGTTGTATTTATTAAAAAGAAAAAGAAAACATACATAAATAATCTATAGCTACATGTACATGTATCAGGTGACTCTTCAAATCATGTGATGCTACCTACCGGCACTAGTAATGTACTTGTACTAAAATAGTATGATTTTTTTTAGTTCTACATCAAGCTATGTAGGTAACAATTTTCTTTTATGCAAAATCACTTTAATGTTGATTTATCTTACATACTTTACAATATCTCATTGGCCATTTTTTCTTTTATCAAACTGGGTCTTAAAAGGTCTCGTGAAAACAATGTTAGAAGTGCTACAAATAGTCCATTACCTCTCCTCCAATAACAGTGTTTTGATCATCCGTGAGTATGAACACTATATTTGGGGGACCCTTCTTGGATGCACATGTTTGCAGCACATTTAAAAGAATAAGCACCGACAGCATCGACAAAATACCTCTCCCTCTACCTTCCATTCTACCTGTAGAAGTACCCGTGACGTGACCTGTGGGTGGAGCGTTGTTACGCACAATGCTTGGGGGACAAATGTGATGTGACTATTCCCCATACTTTATAATGGGCGGATGATAAAAATTGCTCATAAAAAAACAGCCCGTTTTGTTATATTCAAACAATTTTTTACTTCAAAACTGCGTAAGAGTATGAGGAGTGACTATCCCTAGAATCACAGAAGAGATAAAAAGAGAAACTGGACCTTAGCATTTTGGAGATTTTTCCATACAAAATTTCCCGCAGTTGCTTTGGTGAACGATTGTTGCCAGCAATTTCAAAAGGGCGGTTCTTTTTCTGAAAAAAAAAAAAAATGGAGCTTTTACCATGAAACCTTCATATAGCTTGATAAAATTTTGCTCAGAGGGGAGCCCCCCCCCCCCCCCCATGGCAATAACATTTTTTCAAGTTGATTTCAATTTAGCGAGAATCCCCTTGGAGATAGATCGATCCACAGTTAGTATGATAGGGTCTAAGGCTGTATTCCCAGAGCTTTTAGATCGATCTATCCCCGCGGGGAGTCTCACTAGATTACTGTCAGATAATCCGGCTTAAATGTCCGTCCCGCCTCCTACAAGCTGTAAAGGGGTAATTACTTTTCGTGTCCGCTCGGCTGACAGCTATTTAGCGTGAACCCCAAGGGAGTTAGGTCGATCTAAAGTAGATCGATCTAATCTCTGGAAATGGGGTCTAAGAATGGTCCCTAAAGGTATCTGTTACTTGTAACAGGCATCTGTCGATACCACTAGGGACCTCTGGTGATCAGGATGTCAAAATGGAGAGCTTCAGAACACAGGCATAAACTTTTCACAATGAAACACAGAAAATATCAATACACCACAGTAAAATAAAACATCAAAAAGAAGAATAAGAAAAAACAAATTACGTTTATTATCAATGTCTTTTTTTTTCATAGATTTCAAATGTCTTCGAACAAAAATATGTAACCAAAATCTCTTTTCATGTTCTTTTCTTTAAATTATACATTTGGATCTGCAATCATCAATAAGGTTTTTGTCTCCCATTTAAAGGATGACAAGAGAATTACACTTCTTCTCATGCCACAATATTTACACGACACCATTTCCCTATTAATACTATGGTCTGTTAAAAAAGTGCCTTCTAAAAAACTACCAAGCTTCTATTATCACAGGCATTGACCAGTCACAGGTCTAGATCAGACTGTATTTCAACTAGGAAGAGTGATGAGTGCCAATCTGGTCAAAAATCTTGTGGATGAACTTCTTATGAAAAACAGACCTTTTATTTCTTCAACATACAAGACTTCATCTTTATTACCACGATGCAAATGTAACCTTTGATAAACGTTGTAGCTTGAGCAAAAGTAAACTTGCTAAAAAATAAACATTACTTGACAACAAATGGAATGCTGATTAAATCCTCTTAGTTCTTGTATTCTAATTCGACACAATAATGTACAAATGTATCTGTATCCTTTAAAAGTATACCAGGCATAAAATGAATTTCTGCTGTTGGTTACATAATATATTCTCCAGAATAATTGATAATATTAAGGAGAATATTTGAAATGAATATTTTCAACAATAATAATACTGAAATTATAAAACATCCAAACTTTTTTAGCACAGCTTCATAAAAAAGTTTTTCAAAGCCCATAACATTATTTTTTTGTAAACATACAAATTTCAAAATGGAACAATTTCAGTCACTTAAATATGTTGAACTTCATGATCCGTAGAGAATAATGGATAAAGGCTACTTTCTCTGACAGCCCAAATGCATAAACAATCTGCATGTCTTGCTCAATCTGGATACAAGAATTGTCTGTATAATTTTGTCCAGACATATATGCATATACACTGTGCATGTACTAGTATGTATGACCTGTGCGACATACATGTATATGTCCACATAATGATGGCAGGTGATGGCACTTTGGATTATTTGGCATAAAACAGCATCAATACCACATCAAGAACCATTCATGGAAATGGATTTTATACCAATAGCGAATCAATATAATATAATATAATATAAAGCATGTATGGTTTTGAATAGTGACTCAATTTACTTAGTAGATGTTCTCCAGCTTTGAGCTCTGTGATTTGCTATAATGCAAAGACACATTGAAACGTGTATAAAATTAAAAACCAAGCCAGGGCACCATGACCTCAATTTACAAGTACATGGGGTGGTCCTATCTTGCGACAAGAGGGTCCCTGACAGACAGACAGCTCCATTAACTTCTTTCCCTGGTCCATAAGTACTGACTTACTCACAGTTTGGATGGCATTGGAGAGCTGGTCGGGGTCTTTATTCAGGTCATAAAATTCTGCAAAATTCTGAAAAGAGGCATTTGCTGTTTATAATAATGCATTCTCAGTTTACTTTTAGTAAATAAAATAAATGTAAATAAAAACCATCGATGCTTGAAAAAAAATACAGGAGTAAATTAAAAATAGAAAGTGAAATCTAAACTAGAATATTTAGACAACCTTGGACTCCCAACTCACCTCAGTGTCCTCAAACACACAGTACATGTAGTTGGTGTCTGCTGAGAGCGTCCTTACGCAGCCATACGTGTTGTTCTTGGCATCCTCGCACACACAGTTGGGGTCGCAGTTCTACAATAATCAGATAAAATAAACAAATGAGGGGCTGACAGGAATATTAGTCTGGGGTACCATATGATTAGTACAGGTTAGGGTTAGTCGGAGTATTGGGGTTAGTATATGGGACGGTCCTATATATTGACCCCAACACCCATCCAGGACGGGTGTGGGGTCAATATATAGGACAAAGTCACCTGTTCAAAAAATATAGGGAACAAAATACAGCTCACTGCAAACAACTTGTACCATTCCCGTCACACCTACTGACAGTAGATTCAAGTGTTATTTTCAAACATTACATCATTCCAAGTTCTATAATTTTTTTGAGACAAAAATCAAATATTTTGACTAAATACAAAAACAGCAGGAATATCCTTATTACAATTATTATCCTGAACTCGTCAGTACTGTCTTAATTTTACAATCTATGTGAAATTACAGCTCCAGTCTTGTTCAAAATTACAGTACTTATTAATTTTAGATTCCATGTATTACCAAGTAATCTTAATTTGAAACCAATAATCTACTTTTTGTATCTACCAAATGCTTCAAATAAAAAAATCATAAACAGTAATGCAGAAGCAAATTAAACAACCCTACATAAATACTTACAGCCAGGTCCATGTTATTGTATTGGGGGCATCCTGGGTTGATCTGCTTGTACTCCCCCTGGTGTTCAATCACAAAACTCTCTCGCCAACTGGAGGCTGGGATTGTGGCATTCTGCGCTAGAAGGTTGTGGAAAGACATGCCATCCATTTGTGATGGGGCAGTCTGGGCAGACAAGGCTATAAATGTTGGCGCCAAGTCGATGTTTAGAATGATTTCCTGCAATGAGATATTAATCTTGCACTTCTTGTGACAATCTGAGATGTATAATTACAATAAATGAATAAATCCATTTCCCTCTGTATGTTTGTAAAGCCTCGGTCACAACCGGCCGTACGGGTTCTTATGGGCTGTTTGCGTCCAAATTTTGCGCAGAATCTCACGTCCCGGCCACGCAAGACCTTCTTACGCAATTTCGAGTTCGCAGACAGCCCGAAAGCAAGTACGGCAAGGCAGACCTTCCTCTACCTCTACGACCTCCACGTACGGCCTCCGCAACCCCCAAAAATCGCAGGGGACGTACGATCCTGAAATTCGTGCATCCGGTTGTGACCGAGGCTTAACATACGTCTACATATTTTGAAGCAAAGCAACATACTGTAGGAATACAATATCATAAATAATATCAAGCAGCCAAACTGATCAACGTTAATATCACTGACCTCTCTGAGCTGACCAGCCTTGATGCCTGGCCCTCTGACCATCAGGGGTACTCGCACATCAAACTCGTACAGCTGCCGTTTGTCTTGTGGCAAAGAAAATTGACCTTCAAACAAATAATTAAAGAGTTGATTTACATGTAAGTGTACAGCATATGTAGAGTTGCAACCAGTTTTGCTATGTGTATTTTATACTTCAGTTTTTAGTACATGTATGTATTCTTGTATTATGAATTTTCTTTTAAAGTGTCTGTTACAACTATTGCTATATTTTAGTTTAACAATTCTGCACTTATCTTCTCAATGTACAAAATGGGATGGCCTTACAGTATGTGTATGAAAATCCACACATTTGCATTCAGACACACTAATTAGGAAGTCTTTATCATACATTTTATACCTTAATTCTTGACAGCTGCATAAAACTAGAATAAACTGGATAAAACTGTGCATTAGTTTGGCAAGCTCAGACAAAACTCCAACCTTGTTATCATTCTGCCCCATTTAATCTCCATTTCTTACCGAGATGATAGCCATTGTCAGAGGAATAAAACACGTAGGTATTGTCCAGCAGTTTTCGCTGAGTTAACAAATTGATCACATTCTCAACCATATCGTCCACTGACAGCAAGGTGCGCCATCTATAGGTGAAAAGTTTAAACTTGTCACAAAAAATATATTCTGACAAAAAAAAAAAAAAAAAAAAATTACCTAAAATTTTCATAAGTCGCAACTCCTAATGTAAACTATCCATTATTTGAAATGGAAGCTCTGACAATATGACGGATATTTTAAATTTTCATATTTGTTTGTCTCCTGTGCACCACATGTACCTGTTCCTAAAAACATTATCTATGGTAGCAATGGCATCATCAGAGAGAGGTGACTTGGCCTGCCTTATCAACCAGTGCTTATCCTGAAATAGCATACAGATATCACTTTCTGTTTATATTAGCAATATCAACAGTCTATAAAATATGTGAATTACCAGATAAATAATGTAATGTTATGTAATGTTACATAATGTTACACAATGTTATAATATAATATAATATAATATAATATAATATAATATAATATAATATAATATAATATAATATAATATAATATAATATAATATAATATAATATAAGACATATCGAGAGAGAGAGGGAGAGAGGTTATTCAGTCTGCAATGAAGCATTCACCTTCCCATAAACATTAAAGCTTCCATTCCTTGGTGCCTTGGTGTCATTAAAACTGTTATTGTACTGGGGGGCTGGGGTAAAGGGGGCGTGGCAGGCTGGGGTGGACAGCATCATGAAGAAGGGTCCTGAATCAGGTGACTGCAGTTGAAGGAATTCCTCTGCTCTTTTGTTCTGCATTGTAAAAAAATATTTTGTAGCTTCATTAAATGTATTTATCATGTACCTGTATTATCTTCCCCCCCCCCCCCCCATTTTGTGAACAGCCATGCATAATCTTGAACTTGTGCCTTTTCTTAAATAGCACATGTAAATATCAAATTTGTAAATATCATAGTGTTTCCAAGTCATATAATTATAATCAATAACAAATATCTTAGTTTGTCAAAGACTACTATGTCAGTAAGGTAGTGTTTATACGCACAATGACATCAGTAATGCTAGTAGTACCAGTACTTATTTTATATAATGTCAGTAAGGTAGTGCCAGTACTTACAATGATGTCAGTAAAGTAGTCATTCTGGTAGTTGTCCCTATGGTTCTCTACTGTTCCATTCACAGACAGGTGATAATTGTAATATTTGGAGTTACCAACCTAAGAAAATCAGATAACATTCAATAAGCACTTCACTTTGGATTGCTGTTTTGTATCTGTAAGAGTAAGTGACCATGACTGATTCTGTCCTCAACTTTTTGTGGGATGAAAACTCTGGTCTGTGTTGGGGACAAACACCATGAAAAATGCATTTACACAGACATGACCCATGACATGATATGAACCATTACATGTGACCCATGATATGTGTGACCAATGATGTGTGATACATGACATGAAGTGTGACCCATTATGTGTGACATGTGACATGATATGTGACCCACATCATATGTGTGGCCCATCGTCCTATGACTTGAACACTTCATGCCATTCAGTGACCTATGATACTCAGAGTGAAGTGGTTTTCTAGTTATATTAGCTTACCAAACCATTCCACCAGTCCCAGCCAGGTGGTATATGTTCTGGGCCCCCTGTCTCAGGCTTGCCATACTGGAATAGAAGACACACACATCCAGTTGAAAATGGCCTAAAACAATTTCTATTTCTAAGCCCATGTCATCAGAAAATAGTGTTTTTGGCCAAAAAATACAAGACTGAGGCCCATAAAGTAAGAATAAACTAGGTTCATAAAGTAAGAATAAAGTCAACCATGAAAAATGAAAATAAAGAATAATAAAAAATATATTTATTTATTTATATTATGCCTTGAATATCCTAAGTATTTACTGAAGAAATGCTAAAACAATTTTTGAATTACTTGTAAAAATAAAAAGTTACATGTACCAACCTGATTTAGATATTTCCCAGCAAAAAAAGTGGTGTATTTTTGTTTTTTGAGATACGTGATAAAGGCCCTCGTCTCTGATTGATTCTGCCAGGTGGGGCTACTGCAGTTCCCGTCCACGCTATTGTTGACAGCACCATGGTTGTGGACATAGTTCCCAGTGAGAATACTGGATCGACTCGGGCAACACAATGGGCTGGTGGCAAACTGAATAATAAATTAAAGGTGCATATGAAGTCAATTTTTGCTAGAAAAGCCAAAAAAAGTTCAAGCATATAATTTCAAATAGTATAATTAAGAAAATAACCAAGAGATATTGCTTTATATTACTGTACCTGAAAAATGATATTCGAACAGATTTTTCTCCTAGCTTTCTATGCTGTATATAAATGGGGCAAATACATGTAAGCAGGTCAGATAAGAAGGTTAAATTTACGACCAAAAATTTCTAGAAAGGAGCAGCTTACAGCTTTTTTATGGTTGATCAAGCGAATTATTTAGTTTATCCCTTGGCATGTGCAATTTGTGTTGTACAGTATAAAAAACAAGTAGAAGTGGTTTATATACATTACAGGGAATCCACACTCCACCGATGCTCAGTTCAAACATACCATATTCCTGAAAATTATCCCTTCATCTCCAATTAACCTCTTGGTCTTTGTAATTGGTGTCTGAAAAAAAAAAAAACATACAATATGAGTCAATGTACAGCATATGCTGGTTCTAGACCCTGTAATCTGTAGCACCATTTACAGTATCTATTTATTCCTTGCACTTTTAGTTCTGACTCAAAAGATGGCAAAGCAAATCACTACTCACCCACCTACCATGCCTAATGAGAACCTTGTAGCATTAGTATCAGTAAAAGTGTCATGCCTTTACCAATGGGCTTTAATTTACTACGTGTGTAATTTACTATTATAATTCATCATCGACACTCGTTAAGGCAAAAAGTTGTCATAACTGTCAGCTTAAGAAATGTGATTGTCAGACGTTTGTTGAATAAGTTTGTTCCGGGGAAAATAGCAATGGTGTCAATACTTGTACAACATATACATGTATATATGTACATGTGACTCTTGCAATCATGTGACGCTACAAATGTATTTTTAATGCACTCTTTTTGTTCTACAACAAGCTACGTTGGTGACTATTTTTTTATGCAAAATCACTTAAATACCGATTCATCTTACACCATTTACAATATCCCATTGGCCATTTTTGGCTTTTTAACTGGTAGATATCTTAAAAAGATCTCGTGACAATACAAAACATTACTCATATCTGCAATACATAATATATTACCTCTCCTCCAATGACAGTGTCTTGATCATCTGTGAGTATGAACACGATATTTGGGGGACCCTTCTTGGTTGCACATGTTTGCAGCACAAGCAAAAGGATAAGCACCGACTGCATCAACAAACTACCCCTCCCCCTAACTTGCATTTTGAGAGATTTTGACCCGCAATCTTTACTATGCACCGATACTGCCAAAGCTCGTTCTCGCCAAGACAATCTCAACTACTCGTTGGTCACCCACTGGCCGTAGGCCTACACTTAAAGTGTTTTGACTACTTTTGTGCTTTCAAACAAGGGGAGCGTCAACAGTATTGAATTTGGATAGTATCCTGTTCCAATGCTTGGTTGTGCTCCTGTATGCAGAACACTGTGTAAATATCTATGAACAAAACGAAGCCATGATATCGATGGTTGGTGAGGCTTGTAGGCCTATATGGGGTTGGGGGGGGGGGGGTGCTGCCTGTGTTGCCCATATGTCACAGTACCCACCCGAATGCTATTTAGGGGGAGTGTCTTGATTTTGTATTAGGTCCGTATTTGTAGCTATGGCTGCATTAAGCTAGCATCCTGCATTCTGTCGCCATGTCTCCGTCGTCTAATATGTGCAGAACCTACTGGAACCAGGTTTTATATTTTGAAAGGTTCCCATTATTGTACTATCCTTGGCTCTTTTACTTATCACGGTGATGCTACAGTTGAGCATTTTTTTGCGTGTGTGCCAGTAAAACATCCCGGAAATAACTAAACATTATTTATCTTCAATATTATGCCTACAGAAAAACTTGTATTAGAAGCATTTCTTTTATATAAAAAATTAAGAAAACCCCTACGTGGTACGTGTTAAGTGGTTCGCCTTGTCGTGAAGAGCGTAAGAAAAATTCCAGGGTACTTTTAAGTCGTTATTGTGTCTTTTTTTCTACTCTTTGAAATCGTTATATATGCATGGTGATTTTCATTCAGCTTAAGGCAAGATCAATATTATAGAGGTGGATTTAAAATAAAGCATTTCTTATATCGTCATTTATAGGAACGAAACCGTTTTTAACAATACACTACCTACAATAGGACCTACTAACTATAGGCCTTATTGTATTAATGACTCTGTACACATGTTAATTTTTTTAGCAAAATAAAAAGTAAGTTTGATTTTAAACAAACGGGAATTTTCATCCATCTTTAGCAAAAGAAAGTTTATGGGACGAGTAAAAGCACCGAGTACCATACGCAAAAAGGAACCAAGAAAAATATTAGTCATGAAATGAGTGTTGAAAACAACGCAGAAAAAAGGCCTAAAAGTAACCATTTCGATAAGACGTATAAAGGGTAGGGAAATAATATAGAAAATAATGCAAATACGTAAGAACTATTAGAAAAGTAAGACAGAAAAAGGTATCATTTAACCGTTCAATGTCCAATTAAAACACCTGTACGTGGTTCGACTCACTTTAAAAGTAAGGCAGAGGATGGAAGGTACATTTTAACCGACAATTGTCAACATAGTTTGATCTGCAAACCAGCTTCATTAAAGATCTGTTGTTATGACTAATGAATGATATATAACCAAGGAATGTATCAGTATGGCAGTGTGTGACTTCACTCATGATTTTAACGAGCCTCTGAGGCCATGTAATGCATTTTGATGGTGGTAGTGATGAAGGAGAATAATAAAAAGACGGGTGGGACGGGGAGAAAACCAGCTATTCAGATCCCCACATCATTATCACGAATCTATGAAATGGAGATCTTTGTACTAGTACATGTATCTATAAAAATAATTGTGTCAACACAACAGACGTGTGTCTGGGAAGAGATTATTTTACACCGACTCTTTGGTGTTGTTTTATTTCCACTCTATTGCTTTATGTTCAGTACAAAACTTGGGATTATTGCCTCTTAGCATATTTGCCACACGTGCAGTGAATATGTATCCTAGGGTTTTCCATAAAAAAAAAGATGACACGATCAAGATGACTTAAACCTGAAGATACCCATTGTGGACGTCTGTTGTCATGCAGTTACGTCATTGTGATTGTCACTGGGTCGCTTTAACCATTAGCAACCTATGCCGTAATCGCGAGGACAAACAGAAAGCGAGAGTTGGGACAACAACCAGCTTTGTGTGACACCTCCCAACAATACGAAAGGCATGTAGAGATCGCTTACCCTCGCTCTCGGTGTCAAGGACTTAAGCCTTTGTTGTTGGTAACTGACTCGTGTATCTCCCGCAAGTGGCCGCCTTATTAAAGGGTTTGCTTCATGCCGTCAGAATGGCCTGAACGGAACATATTCTTCAGAAAACATGCCCAACTAACGATATCTTTATCCAAATACACAAATTAAAAGCTCATTTTGTAAATTTTTGGCTTTAAAAAAGGTCCTATTTGCTCGGCCTGGGAGTTAATGAGCTACGTGGTCACGTGGTCCAATGACGACAATCGAGCCACTGGAGAACAGAGCGTGCTTAGCTGTCAAACTGAGCTGCATTGTCTACCTGTAAGATGACTTCTCTGGCTTCTGATAAAAGTTTATACTCATTCAAATCTCTTACCCGAGGGGTCTAAATCCTCGTGAAGCTGTGTAAAACCATTTCCCGTCTAGTCATTTCTTTAACAAGCATTTCATTATGGTTATCCCAAGTTGTATAAAACACTGCATTTGAATGAGTTAAGGGAAATGTTGATTATTGCATATGAGGTCCATGTTATTTGTGAAATTCAATTTATTTTATTAAACCGCTGACACTCCGTCTTGCATACTTTTATTAAACTGAGGTAAACAATGCCCGTTACCTTTACAAGTCCTATCTTAATCATCCATCTACCTGGAACTTCCTTTACCTCTTAATTAGAGGGTTAAATGGCATTCAATTTGTCTTGCTTGTATCGAACGCACTCTCTATCTAAGCTTTACTCCAGTTATCTCAGGTAAAAATCTACCTGTGCGTTAGTTACAAAGCGCAGCTCCCGTAGACCTGGGGG